CTGGTCTCATACTTGTGCTTGGTGTTTCCACAGCTTCCGACGTGCTCATATGTCACATCTGTGCCTTGGCTGAAAGTGCACTCAAAGAACAAGGCGCCCACAGCAATGGTGAGGGCGAAGGTGGAAGTCCTGTGAAACAGGAGGACAAGGAGTACAGCTTGAAGCGAGAGTCAGAGCAGCCATGTTTCTTCACTGCTCAAAAAGCAATGTTTTTGGTTGAAGAATAAGCCCATACAGAAAAGTGCTTATGCCAAGGAGTGTCCAAGGAGTGTCAAACCTGGCAGTCACTAGAGGAGAGGCCTTGCTGAAGTAGACGGGTCTTCTTAAAGATAGACAGTATTGGGCAAAGTGCAGACCTCCTGGCCAGGAAGCTAGAGACCAAGGGGAAGAGCTCCTTTGCAACTGTTTTCCTTTTCTTTCATCTCTATTCATATTTTTTTTGAGTGAGTACTTGCAGGAGACACTTCCAGGTCCTTGTCTCGATCCAAGAAGCCAATATTTGTAATCCCAAATTTATGTTATTGGAATCCCATCAAATTGATTCCAATCTACCACTTACAATGCAACCCACGGCGAAAATAAAGACACTAAATTATACCTTCAATCATCGGGAGTCAAGGGGCTCTAAGTCCAGCCATGAGGATGGCTTTCTAGAACCAAGAGAGCGACCCAGGGCCTCACCCAGTTTTATTCAGTCGGGGAGCGGCTTGAGGATTGACTGAGAATTGTGGGAAAGAGACTACGATGAGCTGAGCTGGGTGAGTGGCCTAAATTTACCTCTGCGATATGCAGAGAGAGTAATCTGCATTATATGGTATCTAATGTTTTGGTAAGTCTGGTGCTTCAGCTTTGGTGTAGCCTTTCAAGCCCCAGGAAGTCAAAGCCTCTGTCTGGAGGCTCGATCCCACCTGGCGCCGCAGAGCATTAGCTCTACTATCCTGTCACAACCCGGCTCACATTAAAGACCAGCAGGTGTAGGTTACCAGGGAAACACGCACGCCACCTTCAAAGACTATCACCAGCACCTCAGCTAGACCAGTACATATTGCTTAAGGCCAACTGAAGGGTAAACAGAAGTCCTAGCCAGCTCTGTACATAACGAGGAAATAGGGTCAGGCTCAGTCAAAATGGAGACAGTCACTCTTCTTTCTAGCAGAGCTGCTCAGGTGGTCCTCCACAAGTACTGGGAATCAAACTTGGGACCCTCACTTGCCAGGCAGGTGCTTGTGCCACTGAATTATATCCTTGGCCCTCATCTTGTATTCATACCTAATATTAAATCCTTTCTAGAGCACATGGACAAAGAAGCAAATAATGTATTGTTAATGTGACAAGGAAGCAGAGCTGGAAAGAGTCTGGCGCAGCGGCTAAGCAGCTTAACATCTAATGCTTACTAGGAATTTTTCTTTTTCCGGATATTTTAATATTGTATTTTCCACATTATTTTTTTAAGGGAAGGGTCTACAGGATGTTCAGAGTCTTGCTGCTCAATCGGACTCATACTGACTTTCCTATTTACAGCCTCCCAAGAGTTGGGTTTATAGGCATGCGCCACCACACCCAGTCTCAATCTCCTCAGTGCGCCCTGGGGTCAGGGCTGGTATGGCAGGCCTGGGGATCAAACCCCAGCCCCCGTGCCTGCTTGCAGGTGCTTTAGTCCTCTGAGCTATTTGGCTAGCCTGTCCGCCATTTTTTTTTTTTTTTTTAAAGACTGTTCATGTTACAGATTAAAGTAAGTAGAGAAGCATGACAATTGGGTGTAATGCATTATCCTGACTTAACTTTATTCTGGACCAAAAAATGTAAATTATTTTTTGCTTCCAAGATATTTTAAGACAACTGACAAAATTCAGCTATGGACTGTAGTTGTTAGATGTTAGTAATTTAGCCATGTTAAATCTAATTTATTTGGGAAACTAAGAAAACATTCTTGTGGGGACAGTGATATAAGGTTTTACTAGGTAGCCCATGCTGTCTTTAAACTTATGTGATCTGTTGTAACCCAAAAATCAAAAACGGGACTCAGCCTAAAAGAGCTTTATTTAGCTGAGTTCAGCGGTGGCACGTACTCTCATCTCCAAGTAGGTGCGTGCCCAGGTGGGAGAGACAAAGGTTTTTAAGGCTTGTCTCTTTGCGGAAAACCACAAAGGGGAGGTCTCGTGACTTGAGCGGGAGGGAATGCAGCACAGGGGTCAGCGTCCACTTGCGGGAAACAGGTTACATTCTTTCAGCATGTGGTTACAATTTTCAGGAACAAACAATTAAATTTTATGGCATGGTGTTGATCATGGGATGTCACAAGGTGGATATCAAGATAGTTTTGGGAACAGGGAGTTACATCCTAGAACAAATAATCATTACCTTAGAATATGGGGGATGATCACAGGATACATTGTGCAGATTGCTTTTAACAATCTGTGGTTAAGAACAAAGGAATAGTTTGAACATTAACAAACTGTGTTCAGAGGTCCAATGGATGGCTTGAGCCACCAAGATGGGAGTTTAAGTTGTCAGCTTATAATAAACAGGTCTTGATAATGAGGTCATAGTGGAAATGTACAGACGTGTATGATAGAATGGCTATTCTGGTTATAAAATGGAGTCAATCACATAGGTTATAACAGAAACGTACAGAGTAGAATAACAAAATACTGTTCTAGTTACAAAATGGAGGCGGTTACAAAGGTTACAACATGATCCATCTACCTCGGCATCCCAAGGCTAGAGCTGTGAGTGTGCACAGCCAAGCGCAGCTAATACTTCTGCTCTGAGCAATTCACACTAGCATATTTGGCCGTCAAAACGAATGATGTCTATCACTTTCTTGTAAATAGATCAGAGAAAATGCACACGTAGAAATAGAAAATAAGGCAAATATGCCAACAAGTTACCGCTGAATCGTGGTGAAATATTTTGGGTGTTCTTTGAGGTACTCTTGCAACTTTTCTATAGATGTGATTTATTTCAAAATAAGTGAAAAAAGAAGAGATTGTTGAGATTAATCTAGCAGTCCTGCTGAATTGGTACTCTAATTCTGCAGATGGTGAGCCACTTATTTGTGCAGTAAAAGTTTTCCATCAGCCAGATCAAGGTGGTGAACTAAAGGGCTGAAGTGTACATGTGGGCTCCTGCCAGTATTATTAGTTACATGATTTTCCTAATTTAAAACATTAAAATTTAAGTTATAGATGTAGCACAAATACCCATAAGTGATTTCTTTTAAACAAATGACTTCTGGGATGAGCTGGTCTCATCTTTCAGTTGTACCTTTCTTCATTGATACTGACCCATCAGGAGGCGTCGACTAGGCTTGCTCCTATGTCTCTGGCTGAGTGAATCTGAGCAACAGATCAAAGGACAAGGTGCAGAGCAGGTGACCGCACAGGTGCTATCAGGTTTCACTATGTGCCTGTGACTGCGACAGTGGACAGTGGCGGTTGGAGTTAAAAGGTGGACAGGCAACTATGCGACTATGAAGAGCAACACAAAGCACAGTAATGGTTAGCAGTATTACAAGCTCACATGCACACGAAGTTAGCTGAAGGGTGACATACAGAAAAACGGTGTTTATTATGTAACTCGTGAATAAGCAAATTAGAACAATGTCAAAAGAAACAAAAGGGGTCCCCTAGATTGTACAAATAATTAAAAGAAATAATGACAAAGAATAGAAATGGAAGGTATAGACCACAACTATGTATCCATAGGATGCCTTGACAAACCACCAGAGACAGCTGAACTGCTTAGTTGTTGTCAAGGAGAACTGGCTATTGTATCTTACCTCAGATACCACCTGTATTTGTGCAAAATCCTAAAGGCAAGAAGATATTTAAAGTGAAAAATAAAGGTACAAAGTTAATGAAAGAAAATGTCACATTTTGTACTTACTTTATAAAGTTAGTGCAGGGAAAACTTTCCTTTAACAAGACCTCATAAGAACAAAGACTAAGCCGGATGGATAGCTTGGCGATCTAAGTGCCTGCCTGGCAAGGGCCAGGGCCCGGGTGCAACTGCTGGTACTGCATGCTGTGCAGGTGCCACCCTAGCATGGTGGCGCACACCTGTAAAGCCAGTGCTGGGGAGGCAGGATGATCACTATTGAGTCTGAACTGCATAGCAAGACCCTGTACCAAGTAAATAAATGATTAACAAAACAAAAGAACAAAGATCAGCATTTTAAAAATTTCTAGATTTGACTACATTAGAATTAAGGTTTAGGTTAGGTAAAACATCTCACTGTCAAAATTATGGGTGCTAGACCGGGTGTTTGTAATATATATTACATATCTATACATATAATATAAAAGAAAAAAGAAAAAAAGGCAAAGCAAAGAAAAAACGTAAGGTTCTTTTCAAATCACAAAGTTGAACAAGTTTTAGGCTTCAGCAACCAGATGCAAGTGGGCAACTAATACACTAGAAAACTGCAAAACAATCACAGATTTGATAGTTTTACCCACCTGTACGCTGAAAAAAACAAACTGAACAAAGTTAACGGTTTGATTCTAACTACCTTATCCACGTACAATTTCAAAAGCTACAGTTGTCTAACACCAAATTTGAGGAACTAGGTCAACAAGAAACAAAGTTTGGCCCCACCCCACCTGCCCGCCTGCTGCCAGCACCACGTGC